ACTCTGCTTTGCTGAACTAAAGTTGCTTTGATCATGGTTATACAAGGTTGGATGGCTGATGGCTGCTTGAAAGGTTCACAGTGAATTAAATACATTTAGTTCTGTTTTTAATAATTTCCTGCTAATCCAAAGCGTTCAAATGATACTTTTAACATGCTCATTGAGTGGCTGGCATATGTTTGCAACTTCAGAAGACAGAAAGTATATTACTGTGGAAAAGGCTTAGTGTCCCTTACATTGTTCTTTCATGTTGAAATGCATCATTGTGGCTATGAAGCAGGTAAACAGATTTGCCAGATATAGTTTCTCATATATAGCTTCAATGTGTTGTATTTTATTAAAGTGTCTTGGAAATCAGCCACACCTAAAAATGCATTTGCGGTTTTAAAAAGTATAGATTTGACAAAACTGCACAGGAAAGATTTTAAAAAGCCATTAGTGCAAGGAGAGAGAAACAAGGGGGTATAATTTATAATCCTTTGACATTAAACCATGAAAAAGACAATGGGTTTTATTTTTTGACATAGCAAATTATTAATATTCAAAATAAATTTACAGCATTTGAAATAATAAGGGTTCTGGAGAAAAAAGTGAATGAAATACACAAAGGCCTAGATCAAGGGTAGGCAAACTACAGGCCGCATCCAGCCCATCAGACCTTTTAATCTGGTCCTCGAGCTCCCGACAGGGAGCGGGGTTGGGAGCTTGCCTTGCTCTGCTCCACAGGTGCAACAGCTCCACATGGTTCCTAGAAGCCGGAGCAGCCAGGGGGCTCTGCACTCTGCCCCCACCCCAAGCGCCAGCTCTGCAGATCCCATTGGCCGGGAACCGTGGCCAATGGGGGAGTGGGGGCGGTGCGTGCGGACAGGGCAGCGCGCAGAGCAGCGTGGCCCTGCTCCCAAACGGGGGACGGGCCACTGTTTCCAGGAGCTGCTTCAGGTAAGCGCCGCTCAGATCCTGCATCCGAGCGCGCTTCCCCCACCCCCATGCCCCAACCCCAGCCCTGATCACCCTCCAAACCCTTTGATCTCAGCCCAGAGCACCCTCCTGCACCCCAAATCCTCATCCCCAGCCCCACACACACACACACCCGTGCCCCAATCCCCTGCCCAGCCAAGAGCCCCCTCCCGCCCTCCAAACCCCTCCATCCCAGCCCGGAGCACCCTCCTGCACCCCAAACCCATCATCCCCAGCCCCACCCCAGAATCTGCACCCCCCAGCCAGAGCCCTCATCCTCCCCCGGCCATGTGCCCCAATCCCCTATCCCAGCCAGCCCTATATACAATTTCCATACCGAGATGTGACCCTCAGGCCAAAAAGTTTGGCCACCCCTGACCTAGATCCAAAGCCCATTGAAATCAATGAGTGCTTCCATTAACTTTCTTTGGATTTGAATAAGGCCCTAAAATATTAAAAGAATATTAATAAAGATCCTATTCTGCTTCTGTTAGCTAATGAGAGTTTTGCTCTTGTTTATAATGGGAGCCGGATCAGGCCTTTTGCTGTGAGGCACAAACAGCAAAAGATTCAGAGATTCAGCTTAGTTTAGAAAAGCATCTGAAACTTTGGACAGTTAATTGAGGTAGGTAAAATGGTCATGTCATCATCCAGTTGCCACTAGTGAGAAAATACAGGGGGAAATGCCAGATTGCGTTGCAGAAGGCAAAGTATTAGGCAGTATGTTAATCGAGGGAAAATTCAGAAATACTTAAGTGTCATGTCTGTCAACAGCAGAATGAGTCTGTACAGTGAGTTTGTAAGTGTCTCCCTCAAATTATCATTATCAGCAATCAGCCAGGTACAATGCACACTGCAGTTTAATTATATGTACTCTAATAGAGGCATTGTGGTTGGAGAACTGTATGGCTCAGGATATGAAAAATTTTACAACTAGATTACCACTGTAGTTCAATTCTAACCTAGGTTGGGCTATTTTGCAGCCATCTGGCTGTTTATTGGTCAATGAGAAATGAGTCTGAGTTTCTGGCTAATCCCTTGATATGAAAATAAAGCATCATAATCACAGCTAGTATTAAGTGACATTTTTGTTGAGTCTAATCATCAAGCTATAGATTAAATGGACATGGGAACTTGAACTAATCTTTCATCCTATGGTGTGGCCCATCTAAACTAGTTCAGTGGTGAGCCAAAGCACTTTGGCAGGTTGCTGTGGTGAAGCTTCTCCTTCTGCTTCCTATATTGTACCTGTTCTGTTGATAAATAGCAATGCTGTCAGTTTGGCTTCTTTCACAAGTGTCAAATTCTCCTCTATAAAAATATAATCACTTATGGAGCTGAAAGGTAGATATCAGCCAAAGAGATATGGGGAGACTGATGGAACTGAGCAGCGATTTGGCTCAAGTTCATAGTTGCATTTAAAAATCTTTCCGAGCAAGTGGCGGTGAAGGAAGCCAGTAATGGCAGCAGAATCTAAACAGAAAAGGGAAAAGGTCAAATGTTCTACTACAAAATAGAGAGAGATAAATTATTAATATGATCAAAAATGGTTTTAAAAGCACTTATTCATAATTTAGTGGGTGCCTTGGAAGTGATGACAAAAGAATGATCCTATACACATTAAATTACATCTGAAGTGATTACAAAAGAATTATCCAAGGCACACCAAACTGAAAATGCCCCCCACAAGAGCTAAAAGGAATAAGATAATCACAAAATTGAAGTCTAGACATTTCTTCTCACGAAAAGAAAATCCAATATTTTAGCCCCTTGACCTTTTCTCAGAGGAGTTTCTAAGATTTAAATTTCCTTTGCATTGCTGGTTCTTGTAGTTGAGAAGACCCACTCAGATTTGTTTACTCACATTTCTTCATATGATAAAATTTCATTTTACATTAAGAGTATAGTCCTTTTTCTCGCCTAAATAAGAACAAATGGTGATTTGAAATTAGTGATAATTTTCAGATAAATAAAAGAAAATATTTCTTCAATATCTTGTAGTCAGCTTATGGAATTTTAGTGCTGGAAGTTATAGAAGTGGCTGAATAAGGAGTTAATATTTTTACCAGTTGGTAGTTATGCAAGCTAAACTGGGGTTAATGAAATCATGTGTTTTATGGAATAAACCGATTGCTACAGGGGTCAGAAGGAAACCTCCTCACCCCCAGTCACGCTTTTGCAAGATGGTTGATGTGCATCCTACGCAATTTTTGTCTTCATTTTAAACATTTGGTGTCTGTCATGAGTGGTGGCAGGATACAGGATTTGATCTGAGCAGGAGTGGCACATGGGATGGTCCTACAACCTCTGCTTGTAACAAATATATATGAACATCATCAGTTAAAATGCATATATTCATCATGGGAGACTGAACACATCGACTCTCATTGCCAACAAAACCAAAATATAATACTCAGACCAACAGAAAATCTTCCCTTTTTTAACTATTCAGAGGGTTCAGCATTTTAAGATGTTGAGTACCCTCAATAATAGTTACAATATGTGGCTGCTAACCCCTGCCATGTAATAGTGGTATAACCTTTTGTAACCCCAACTTCTGTCTGTGACAGGGAGAAAGAAATAAAGATTAGTGTCTTACCAACATTCCTGTTGTCACAAGTCCATGATATCCTCAATTCTTAGTGAAGCCCAGAAGTTATGGGCTTCATGCAGGAATTACTGGATGGAATTCTTAGTGAAATCTATTATCTTCAGCATTCAGCCAGTGCACTCAAATGCCTAGCAGAGTTTGCCTTTCAATTTCAGCAATCCAGCCATTAAAGCCATTACACACATACTTGATAGTACAGTACATGCTCACCAGATATACACTACATATGGCCTTTTACCTCCTAATAGTAAAAAGACTTAGCAGATGTTGGGAGGATTATTATAACTGTAGAGTGAATCAATATTTTTTAACTCTGGTGTGCTTTTCAGTTGGACCAAGTTCTTATTCGTTTGTTTTCTCATGATCATTTGTGCAAATGGGGCTCTGCTTGCAGGAATGTTGAGAAAGGCCATTTGTCATTGAATACCCATATTTGCATGCAACCACAGATATTAGCATTCATGCCAGAAATACTCCATCTGAAGTTTCACATCCACTCAGGAAGCAGAAACAGTACCATGAGACTTACTGTAGGTGACCAATCACAGACCACAAAAAAGGAATAGACATAGTAAAAATGAACAAAATGTTCATGAAATATGTTAGCATAATATGTTCGTTGAAATGTACTAATGTTCTAAAACCAGATATGCCTATTCTGAAGTCTGTGCTGTGGATCTGAAGGTTATGCTGATAAACCAAGAGGGGTGGGGGAAAGAAATATATTAGTGGAAGGTTCCAGAATAATTGTATGTACTCTAGCTCAACCTGAAGTTATGGTCTTGATGCAGGAACTACTGGGTGAAATTCTATGGTTTGTCTTCTGCAAAAGTTTAGTGTAAATGAACCTAATGGTCCCTTCTGGCCTTAAAACATATTCTCAGTCAGGGGTAATAATTTATTCTTTATTAAATCCACACAAGTGAAGCAAGTTGAAAGGGGAACCTTAATTCAGCCATTTCCTAACTTCTGAGTGCTCGACTTTGCAACCTTTAACCTTAAGTTAAATGCAGGCATGTCCACTATTACATATTTTGTAGATGTTTTTCAATACATTTGTCTAGAATAAAGAGAGTTCTAAATGGAGGTATGATACCAACTGCCCCTTTGGCCTTGGGCAAATCACTTAACCTCTCTGCCTTAATTTCCTCATCTGTAAATTGAGGATAATGTTTATCTATTAGCTCCTGACAGGTGTTGTGAGGATTGATTGATTAATTATTGCAAAGAGCTTTGGAGAGAGTAAACTCTGTGAAATGGCTACCTATAATTGTCATGGTCTGTAGTTTCATAAATTGCTTTTTAAACCATCAAAGTTACAATTAATTAGTTTTTTGTTGCAAAAGTTGTATGTTTTTAAAATATTTTCTTGGTGTTACACATCATGAGTCATAACCAACCTTTTTCTTTGTCAATGCCCTTAATTCTGCAGTATGTACGTGTGTCTTTTGACACAAAGCCTGATCTTCTTCTACACCTAATGACAAAAGAATGGCAGCTTGAGCTCCCCAAGCTTCTCATCTCTGTGCATGGAGGCCTTCAGAATTTTGAACTTCAGCCAAAACTCAAGCAAGTCTTTGGGAAAGGTCTGATTAAAGCTGCCATGACAACTGGAGCATGGATATTCACTGGAGGAGTAAACACAGGTAACAAGCAACATTAAAATAAGAGCTTTGTGGCATCAGGGAGGCTTTCATCATTTTAACATCATGATTTAGAATCAGTCCAGATTCTAAAGAGAGGCTGAGCCATTTTATGGTAACTTTTTCTTTTTATTGTGCATTAGCAAGAAAATGCCAGAATAATATGTATTGAACAGCTCTCCAAGAATAAAAGGTTTATTAAAGCATGAAAGACAGATTGTAAAGTGCAAAAAATAAATCCTGCTGTGAGACCATCTGAAGTGTTTTGTCAGAGGGGACTTCATGAGACTAACATCAATGGGTCCAGGTACCGTTTATGGAATGGAGTGATCTGCAGCTAGCAGCCTGAAAGGGTAGCTAGTTCGTAGGTATTACAAACAAGAAACTTTCCACTTCATTAAAGGAAAATATTTTCATCCAAAAAAAGAGGCAACTTTTATCTTTCACTTATAAGAACAAGTTAGATGTGACAGAGAAAAGAGTTTTTCTATTTTATGTGCCTGAAAAAATAAAACCCTTTAATCTGAATAAAAGTCATTTTTCCCCCCTCTCTGTGGATTAGGAGTCATTCTCCCCCCCCCCCCCCCCAGGTTTTTTTTCCCAATTGTCCTTGCAGAAACAGAGGTAACATGTTTCAATTTGTATGCAAAGTTGAACACATCCAAATTTTAGAACCCTGACATGGAAGTTATTTTCTACCTGTCCACATGAGTTTTATTGTCATGGAGAGACTGAAAGGATGGGGAGGCGGGGAAATGAGGCAAGGCAAAGCATTCTACATATGGGGAATGATAATATGTAAAGTTAAAGTATGCACACGTGAATTTTTGTGGCACATTATCTCTACCTGAGTCAGCACAGCTACATTACATCAGTATTTCAGCATTATTTAATCCTTTCAGTGCCTATGGAGAGTAGCATATTCGTTCTACCATATTGATAATACAGGCCTGATACAAAGCTCATTGAATCTTTGCATTAATTTAAGTGGGATTTGGATTAGGCATCACATATTTTGAAGCTCAGTTCAGAACATGCCTAATGAGATTGTTTGTTTTTGTTTTTTTAATATATATTGAATTAAAGATGACTACAGTAATTGTTAGCCCAGTTTCCTTTGTTTCTTAGCTGTCTGGGAAGTTTGTCATCTTCTCAGCTTTCCCATACCTACAACAGAAACAGAAGCAGGTGGAATCTCTTGGTATTTTTTTAAACATCCCCAATGCCTCAGTTGGAGGAGGAAGGAAACTAGAACAAGGGTTGGCCTGTAAATTGGGGTGGTGATAATTTTGTTAGATGTTCAGATCGTGTGGCGTTGAGTGTGGCAGATATAGATAGAAAATCCTAATTAAAAATGCATCCATCTGTGGACCTTTTAACCATACTGCAATAGGCTCGCCAACTCAGCATTTCAAACCAAGCTGCGAAGATGTCTTCAGAGGACTGAATATGAAGTTGTGCTTTGTAGAATAAGACTGGAGTTAAGAGAAAAAGCTCTGTGTCCATTATAGCAGTTTTCAAAGTGTCATAATTGTAGCTTTCAAAAAAAAATCCCAAATTGATATGAACAGGTATTTTTTTCTGTGCCAAAAAATTATTCATAGACAAATAAGACTGTTAGAACAACCACTGTTGTGTATGATCCTAAAATCAATCCTGAATATTCAATTACTTCTATTTACAACATAAAGTATACAGAGTAAAGCAGAAGAGAGCTCTGGGGTCAGATTTTTAAACAAGTTGGGTACACAGTTGTGAACCTAATCTCTTCTTGCAGTTACCATAGTTGCATGCACAACTCAAAAATTCTGCACATAAACCGCTCATTTGCACGTACAACTATAAAATTTGTTTTGCATAATTGTGATAACTGTGCACTTAAATTGGGTGTCCAATTGTACATGTAAATTTGGTACCTAATTTGTTTGTAAATCTCACCCATTGTTTTGGATAAAAATTCTTTCCAGCATTTCCTTTCGGAAGAATATTAATAATATTAGATGCAAGGTGTGACTATTAACCTGAAGTGTGTATATACATTAGCTGCTGTCACTCACAATGCACCCATAATATGGTAATATACACGTATTACGTGGAATGGCAACTAATGTAGTAGTTAGTTAGACAGGGAGCTAGCTGTATGTTGTTAAAAGGCATAATAGAAAACCCCCTAAAATGTTGCCCTCTGAGTATTCATATTCACGACATAACATAAATAGCATATGCCTGACTCACCCCATATCTTCTTATAAACAAATTGCTTCAATATCCATCTGGAATCAGAAGCTGTATTCCCTAGAAAGCAATAGCTTTCGTAGACAGAGAAGACCTGCTATGCACCATCAGGATGTGGGATCACAGATTCATTTGGCTGAGATGTGTGCATTTTGCCCTCATCTGCCAGACAATGTGGTGGCAGCCAGGAAGATTAGAAGATTAGATGTCAGGTTTTTTCACTGTTGATTTTAAATGGATATAAGAGGGCAGTAGCTATGGGGAAACTTGTGGTTATTGTCTGACTGTTGTAATTTGTCAATGTCACTTTAGGATTCATGGAACCAGAGCAGGGAAACAGTAAAGAAAACTGGTTTAAAAAAAAAATCAATCTAAGAATGTAATTTGGAACCAATTATCCCCTCAGTGAGCACAAGTAGATTTTAAATGCATTTTATGCAAAGCTGTCAGCAAAGAAGAGCAAGTGACATTAAATTCCACGTGCTGCTGTGCTACTGTTAGCTGCAGTCAGGTGATGAAAGTAGCTCTTGATACAAGCTGTGTCAAAACTGTTAGGAAAGTGAGCCTGGAAAGCGGAAAAGAAAGCCTGAGTCCAAAAGCAACTGTCCAGCCTGGCACATTAACCTGTACATGTGCACTGTACAGACGTTAGCATAGGAATGTAATTAAAGTAGCCAGAAGTTGCTTTAGACAGTGCAAGCAGTAATCAGAGTATGGCAAGCCATGGGGCAGTCATTTTGTGTGCACCAGTCTCTACTTTCTTGCACTTCCTGCTGGCTTTTCCCTGGTGACTGGGTTTGTGGTTTGATGGGATGGTGCCACTGCTGTCTACAGCTGTGTGTAATGGTGCTTTCACAACATTTCCATCAGTATTTCAACCGCCTTACTTGTGGGTTATATGCCTGAGAGGTTTCAAAATTTGAGGGGACAATCATACATGCTACACATTTTCCCCCCTTTTCTGTGCATTTCTGCGTACTTGGAGAGGATTGAAGATATACACACCACACATATTAGAGTGTGTATGTATCTGGATACAGATGAGAAAAAGGAAAGTTATGATGATCGATGTCTTCATTTTCATTGTTAGAGTTGTGGAATTTGTTGTTTACATTAATTTATTCAGTAAGGTTGTATGTAAAATACACTGAACTAGTAAGGCACTGTATATATCAATCTAAATCATTTTATTATGGCCCCTGTTCTGCAAAACACTTAAGGAAATACTTAACTTTAAGCGCATGCTTAAGCACTGTGCTGAATAGGGATGTGATTAGGAAAGCATACACTTAAGTGGTTAGCTGATTCCAGACCAATGTGACCAAAAATGCTGTGCTTTGAATTTTTGATTATGAGCCTGTTTCTTTTTTTCAGGAGTCATTCGGCATGTTGGAGATGCATTAAAGGATCATGCCTCAAAATCCCGAGGGAAGATCTGTACCATTGGTATAGCCCCCTGGGGAATTGTAGAGAACCAAGAGGACCTGATTGGCAAAGATGTAAGTCTTAGGGGATCTGTGTCATCTACAACATACCTGTATATTCTGGGTTATTTTGTCCTTTACTTTTTCTCAGTGCTTCTCAGATAGAAGTGGTATTTGTCGTCAAGCTGCTTGGTAAAAGGCAAATACTCAGGCATTTTCAGGCATGTTCTTAAATTTATATTTTGTGGGAGCATAGCAAGATTAGAACAGGAAATCCATCCTGTAGATTATCTAAGGCTCATGAAATAAGGCATTCCAGTTTTTTCTAATATATTTTGTATGCTTTCTTCTTTTTTAAAATAAAAGACAAGGAATTTCCATTGAAAATCTACATTAAAAGCTTGTTAAAGTTTCACAGTAAATCACTAAATGTCAGAGAATGCCAAAGCTAAGGTTTCATGCACAACTTGAACTCTGCCCTCTTTTTTGCAAATGTACTGTGTTGCGGTCTTGAATTCCATAATTACATACTGTTTCCCAATTAATATATAATTATTCCACAACCTTGGAAGGCTCATATTATATGAATTCTTCATTCATGAGCCAGGACTCCACAGAAACCCTGCCCCACATATCTTCTAAGGGGTGCGGGTAACATTTACCATGCATCTTTCTTCATGTCATCCTCTTTACGGCTAGATCTCTCTCTATCCCTCCCACCTCAGGATCTCCCTCTCTCATTGTACATAATGTAATAACTTTATAATCTGCCTGCTTTCTTGATTTTGCCTTGTTTGAAATTTTCCTACCCCTTTTTCCTGAGAATTTTGAATGAGAACTTGTGTTTGACATTTTGGGTAGATGTTGGAAATCCCAGTCTATATTCTACTAGAATTGGTTTATATATTTATAACAAAGGTAATATAGAATACAGTTGTTTTATCTGAATTACTTTAAATCTGTGTCCTCCCACCTGGATTTATTCATTTGCACTCAGTATAGAATGGGGAAAGGCATTCACTTATGAGTTAAGTTGAAAGGAATTACAATAAGAGTAAAAAGGAGTGGATCCAACTGGAATTTATCGTAATTCACTAAACATGTAACCACAAGAGGGGGAGAGAATTGTGGGGTACAACTTTGTACTGTCTATTCAGTCTCTGGCCTTTACATGATACAATACTAAGGCTCAATCCGCCAAGATATTGAGGGTGCTCAGAACCTGGATGGAGATGGTCACCAAGGAGAGGGCTCTGTGGAAATAATTTAGAATCCTATTGTGACATAATTGGGGATTCACTTAAAAACTAAGCCAAAAACCATAACAACCACAGGAATAAAATATTCCTGGTGATTTTAAGTGCAAGGCTGACATAAATGCTGGACTTCAAACAGTCTTGACTTAAATTGTGTGAAATGAGTGGCAAAGTATTGCTTTGGAATTTAGGGATGAGCCAAGAGAGTAGTAATACTTCAAAAATCAAAAATGTCAAAATGTTTGAGAATTGTAGGCTTGCGCAGTTATTCTAAGCTATTTGGAAAATTTTAAAAGGATACCATTGTCTGAATGACAAACGAGGGTTTTTTGCTGAACTCTGCCAAAAGTTACAACCATGCAACTCCACTGAAGTCAGTAGGGTTGAGACAAGATAGGTGAGGTAATATCTTTTATCGGACCAATTTCTGTTGGCATGTGCAAGCTTTCGAGCCTCACAGAGCTAAAATATTTATGACCTTTGAAGTGTATGTATAACAGACAAATTGTAACTGAACCCTTCTGTCTCCAAACTTTGATAGTTTAGAGAAAATGGAAACTGGATTGACCAATGAGAGAGTGCAAAATTAGATCATTTCTGTTTCTACCCATCCCTAAAGTATAATATTATCTGTATTGAAAGGTTCGTAGAAGTTCTTGCTCTTTACATTTTTCTGAGTGTGTCTCACACACACACACAAAATGTAGATTTAAGGAAACAAAGATTCAGGCAAGGAGAATGACCTATAATACATAAACCATTATCTGTATATTAAAAAAAATGGTGAATGCCATAAAACTTACTGAAAAGGAAAAATATCACGAAGAAAAAACGAGAAGAATAATGTACACCTTGGTCCATGATTATGTAAAATAAATCCTAGTAAAGCAAGTAAAAAATGAAAAATGAGTATCACAAATATATACATAAAACAATCTCAGAACAAATCAACCAACAGTAGAAGACTTATTAAATTCCAGTATATATTGTGGCTCTGTGTATGTGCATTATGTCTAGTTAAATTAGTATCAAAACTGAAAAAATTGTCAAAACATCCCTTCATTGGGTGGAGCAGGAGATACCATCATAGAATCATAGAATATCAGGGTTGGAAGGGACCTCAGGAGGTCATCTAGTCCAACCCCCTGCTCAAAGCAGGACTAATCCCCAATTAAATCATCCCAGCCAGGGCTTTGTCAAGCCTGACCTTAAAAACTTCTAAGGAAGGAGATTCTACCACCTCCCTAGGTAACGCATTCCAGTGTTTCACCACCCTCCTAGTGAAAAAGTTTTTCCTAATATCCAACCTAAACCTCCCCCATCAGCAGCATTGGAGACAGAAAATTTGCTTCTGCATGTGATATTTACAAGGGTGAGAATCTCAATCTCTCTCTCTCTCACGCTACATTTGACTTGCTCAGCAAGTGTTTTCAAAATTGTGTAACACACCTGCCAACACTCCCAGCCATTGTTTGGGCTGGAGGTTTGTCATGATGGATTTATGGAGAGTCAGACTCATTACTGCAACTATGTCAGAAGTCTCATACTGTAAATTTTTTTTTGAAATTTTACACATTAGCCTAGGCCCCTATGAATTCATTTGTCTTTTCTCCTTTTGATGCCTACAGTAGGCTCTGCTCCTTTCAGCCTTAAATAAATTAATGTCATAGGAAGAGTCATTGTTTAAAAAAACTGTCACAAAAGCTATGAGCCACAAGCTACTCAGCTAAAAAGCCCCATTGATTTCAATGGGAGTTTTGTGTGAGTTCAGACTTAAGTAACCTCTTGCTTTAGGGGGCAGACTCCACCTTTTGGTCTGCCCTCCAGCTTCCCCTGCTGTTTCTCCTGCTTTCTTAACAGGTTGCCAGGATGGGCAGGATCAGGGTCTGAGATGACTTCCTTCCTCCTTTTCCCTGCCCACTCCTCACTAGCCTCCCTACTCCTTTCCTCTACTCCAGTTAGAGACACAGCGGAAGCTGAGGCAGGAGCCCAGAGCAGGAAGTGCTAAACAGATGTCAGGGAAGGAAAGAGTCCCAGTAGCAATAGGAGTGCAGCCTGAGTGTGACATGCTAGGAGAATGAAGAGGACTCGTGGGGGGGATGGAGAGAACTGGCGGGAAATGTTTTGGAAAGTTCAGTGTAGGTTTGGAAAGTTTTACACTAGATCAGCCATTTTTAATTGTCTGAATGTTAAAAGGTGTTCTTCATTGAATATGGGGTTTTAAACACACAAGTAATTAAAATGAATTTTATTAAAGTACAAATGTGGTATATATGTAATACTGAAGGAGGAATACGTGCTTTGCCTTGTGCAAAGGAATATGATTTGGAAATAATAAAGCTCTGGGTGTTTAAAAGAACATTCTGAACTTTCACAGCACATCAATTGCCTTAACTTCGGGGACTCACTGTATGGGATGGTGCACAGATTCTTCACACTGGAGGGAGGGAGAGGAGCTCTTCTTACTTCTTTTAAACCACATGTATATAGCCAAAACCCCACATATTCTGCAGCGATGGGCCTAATTCAGCTGTTCGGTTTCCAGATTCTTTGACACAGTCGTGCACCAGACTAAAAATTCTCTGGCGGTTTCATTTAAATGAAAAGAAGTTTTTAATTAATTAAATATTAAAATGAACAATACAGTCAGTACAGTGGCACCCATGTTCTGTTAATATTAAATCCCACTTATCATACACTGCCCCCATATTTTCAGTTTTTGGTACGTATCAGAATTTTGCCTTAAAGCACAACTCAGTCATTGAGGTTGTCAGAGGGGAGGCTGGAGCTTTTGCCAGTGGGCAGGAGGAAGCTGGTGCTTTGTTCTCCTGTGAAGCTTTAGGAGGCAGTTTGGGATTGCAGGATAAGCACATAAAATGAATGTTTCTGCTAAAATGGGCAGCAGTTAAATAATTAAATAGTGTTGACATTTAAATTACATGTCCTGAGGTTTCAGACTTCACAACCTTCTGAGATGAAAGTACCTGTTCACACCCCCAAAACCATTTTTCAGCCTGTCAGCAGACTCTGTAAGGCGGCAAAGCATCAGTTTACACTTGAAAACATGAAGTTAGGACTAGAAACACATTTTTAAAAATGAAAGCTGATATTCTGGAGCACAATTCTGTGGCAAGTTCTGCAGTCATGATATACACAGCTCTGTATGCTCTCAGGAATAATGTTGGGCTACCAGGCAACCTATCAACTTGTGTGAGGCTAGTGACAATCTTGTTCAAAATGTAATGGCGGATTCTCCTCTGGTGTGATTCTTGGTATTATTATTGTTATTTATTAATTCAGGTGTAATTCCTATTGATTTCAGTGGGAGTTCTGGGTGATTAAGGAATGAATAATGACTTAAGGATTTTCCCCTTTGGCCTTGGAAGTCCATTAAAATACACATTTTAGACCAAGGAAAGTTAGTATTAAATTTGTGTATTTTAATTCAAAATTTTTATTGTATAGCTCTGGGCTTACCTATACAGGGATACTCAGGAAAATTATATGATTAACTAAAGGTCTGGATTTAAAGTGCATCAGTTGAACCGCCTTAAGCCTCTGTGTGGACACTCTTATTCAGAAGTAAAGTGGCCTTCATTTCAATTAGCTTTATTTACTGTTACTGAATAAGTGTCAACACAGGGATTTAATGTGGTTTAAACAGCGTTAACAATTAATTTGGATTTAAATTTCCCAAATATCCCTGTGTAGACAACCCCTGAATAAATTGATATCTCCAACATCCTATGGTGTGGCAAAAGGAGTATCAGGAGTACATGGACTGGAATATTTTGTGGAAATTTTAATTTCACAAAACTT